TATTATAAATTGAATCATTAACTAGATCAAATAATCGAGTTACTATGTGGTTAAAATTAGATTATTCTTCTGAATGTTAGAAATTGCCCATTTATTGGCAAGTTTGTTGCATCAATGTCACTTTACTTGTATTAAGAACGCAAAGAAAAATAATTATTATATAAATGAGCCTGTTCCTTCGACACATAATATTGAAATTGGAATGAAATATTTGATAGAATAATGCATTTTCCCATCAACTTAATGATCTAAATGTTCATAACATGTATATTTCAGTTTCTATTAGTATAATTCATTCTCCCACTCTAACATTTTAAAATCACTTAATAATATTTTCTTTTATATTATTTTAATTTTCACTATGCCTCTATTAAATGCGTTTGTTCAAATCTTCATGACCTTTCCTTTATATTTATCTCGCGAAAGTTTTCAATAAAGTTAGGAATACTTAGACTTTAAAAATATCAAAGGGAACACTCATCTTATTTGATATTAAATACGACTTTGTTCAGGATGTATAAATTAAGTGAAGTTATTTTCCAGTCGAACGTACCTTCATATTCATTGCACTAATAAGAAACTTCTTATCCAAAGAATTTGTTGGTGATCCAACAATTGAAACTATTTATCACGCGTAGAAAACACAAATGTGTTTATAATTTTTGGAGGTTTTTCCGCGCGTTTTATTTCATGACTCTTGATTGAAGAAGGTCTGTCATCGAAGATTGGAAGAATCGCTCGAACGTTTCGTGGCTAGCTTTAAAAGAATGCTTATTTATTTTTCATTCTGTACCTTTTAGACATAAGAATTATAACACTGCCAATGGGAAAACTACAAGGGTATACAAATAGTATTCATAAAGTTTAATTCATTTTTTTTCAAGATGACTCTAAAACCTTCCATATTAAATGTTCCCTTCATAAAGTTGAATATCAATGTTCGCTGTATCAAATAACATAATTCATCAATCTTGTCTTTTGTTTTTCAAGACGCGTGGAAAATTGCAGATAAATAAATTCATTAAGCACACATCTACCACATCCCAAGAGTTTGTTAATTTGCAAAAAACTTTATTCATATGTACCCGTTTTTACAACTAATAAATGAAAATAATTAAAAGTCGAAAGTGACTTTTATTTTGAATACACATAACTCTGGTTATATTGACACTCCATAAATGATAAGATCATCCGATATGCCCAGGTATCAGTTTAACCGAAGGCATTTTCATATTCAATATATAGGCTTGAAATTTAAAATGTGTTATAGCCAACCGTCGGTCTAAATGGGTTAAAGCCAACCGTCGGTCTATACAAATGTCATTATAACCAGTGTCGTATACATATATATCATTATATAAAAGTGATAATAATTATTGTTCTCTGATGGTGTGAAAGAATACCATAATAGCATTCATAAAAACAATGTGTGTGCCATTTGATTACCAAAAAGCATTAATTATAATAGGTATCATATTATTACAATTTGTCTGAGGCAAATTATTTCGGTTACTCATTAAAATACTATAAATAATATTAACAATAAATGTAATTATAGTGCTGATGTTGGGAGAGGAGATGATGTAACAGTGGTACGAATTTCTGTACTTTTCGAAGAACTTGAATTCGATTTCGGAACTTTAACAATAATAATGATGACTAAAATGGCTGTAATAATAAGAAGTATTCCAAGACAAATCCATTTCTTTTTTCTGGTTGACATTGCACTCAAGCGTGCCATAGTCAAATTATCTCCTGCTTTTTCCAATTTGCTTACGGTTTTTTCCGCTTGTTCTTCAATTCGACCGATAGTTGGGTCTTGTTCTTCAACTTGAAGCTGTAATTCTTTTAAGAGGGCTGCGAGCTCGCTAATGGTTTGTTCGATATTTTTAATGTCTTCATGTCGTTTTTTTACTTGGTCCAATACAGAATGCGCTTCTCCGGTACGTAAAATAGCCTGTTGAAAAGCACGTTGTGTCGGATTTGATAAATAATTATTGATTTCTTGTTGGGTTGCATTCGGGTTTACAACTTTGTACTGTCGTGCCATTCGGTCTTCCTGCTGGCGTATATAAGCGCTTGCAACATCTTGGTATTCGCTGACTGCATTTGCGAGCTTTTCTCTTAAAAATTCATGCCTTAGTTTATGGAGTTCATAATTAGGATCAGATATATGAAGTCGTGCATTTTCATCTTCCAGCTGCTTAATACTATCTTTATTTTCAATAATCAATTGTCGTGTATAATTTATGAGACCATCACGCTCTTGTCTATAAGACTCTTCTTTCTGTATCAATGTGCTTCCTAAAATGAGAGTTTGTAACTCCTGGATACGAGAAATGCTGGCTTTTATAATGTCAATGTTTTTTTCAACTGCCCCAGTCTTATCTAAAAATTGTCCAATTTCGTTTGAACTGCTTGAATAATCCATTATATTTGCAAAGACAAAGAATTGAAATGAGAAAAAAAAAGTCCGTGAACTTTTACTATAAAAAAAAAAACCAACCAAACTTTATTTATATTAGTATAAATTCCGATCACCGTTTGTTTTTTAAAGGAGTTATGTAGTACCACCTGACGAATATACCGCTACTGTCGTGTTGGTCAAAAAATGACAGTTACAATTGGAAAAGAAAAAGTTTCTTTAGTGCATTCTTCCGGTTCTTCAGCCGAAGGTAAATATATTTTATTTTTATAATTACTAGGTACAGTTTAGAATTACATGTTAATGACAATGTTAGTTTACTTGTTCGGTGCGACTGTAACGAGTTGGAAATGTGGTGGAAAAGAACGTTTGTTTTTAAGGTACCAATTACAGTAATTATTATTTGCTGTTTTTGTAATTTGTATGTCATAATATTCACTTTCAATTATTCAAAAAGTAAGGATTCAAAACTCGATGGAACGAAAGCGATACGCGGTGGAATTCCTTTAGGTAAGATTAATGCTCATTCATTATTCGTAAAATTTATTTAAAACATTTATAAATAAATTTTTGTTTTAAAATATGAAGTTTTCCCTCAATTTGCTAAGGCCTCCGACCCATCAGCCGCAACAGCTAATCTTCCACAACATGGCATTGCTCGTATTTCTACATGGAAATGGTCAGGAACCGATGCAGATAATGAGGAAGAAGTAACCGTTAGATTTAGTACGTGTTGTATTCGTATTAACATTTAATGACATTACGTACTGTCAATATACTCATTAACCTCCCCAAAATAATAATTAGAACTCACGGATTCTGAAGTTCCAGAAAATCTTCACAAAGAATGGCCAAAGAAATTTGAAATTATATTTATCGTAACACTAACCGCCAATACTTTAAAAAACACATTTCAAGTTACAAATAATGGTACTGAACCATTCGATTTTAATGCTCTTTTACATACTTATTACTCTGTCCCGGTAAGATGATTCGACTGAATCTTGATTTTTATTTATCGTGGTTTTTTTAACATTTATTGTGGTTTTAACTATCATCATTTGCAGGATATTTCCAAGGTTTCGATCAAAGGGTTAAACGACATAACTTATATTGATAAAGTTGAGAATTTCGCACGTGTTCTGGATGTTAAAGATTCAATTACGATCGATCGAGAAACAGATCGCATTTACGAAAATGTTCCTCGAGATGAATTTCTTATCGATTTGGGTCAGCCTGGCGGCGCGGGAAATTTCACCCTAAAAAAGATCAATTTGAAAGATACAGGTATTTTTTTTTTCCCGCTAATTTACTTTCGTATTGTTTATGTAATTTAACATTTAAATATTTTGATAAGTTGTTTGGAATCCATGGATTGATAAAGCTCGCTCAATGTCGGATTTTGGTGATGAAGAATACAAAAATATGGTTTGTGTTGAGCCTGGAACAGTCACGGAATACATTAGATTGGAGGCTGGTAAAAGTAGTGAATGTGGTCAAATCCTGAAAGTTCAACTATGAAACAAATGTTAAGGTCGTTTTGTAAACGCTTAGATTTGAATATTCAGACGTTGATTCTTTTCTATTTAATAATCTCTAAAATACATAATTATGCCTGACTTGGACAATTGTATAATGTATATGTATCATATCGACTGTGAATCTTATCATCTTCACGAGTTTCTGTTCAAAGAGTGCTTATTGATGATTTTGATATAGCTTAATAGGTTCGAAAAACTAAACGTTTAAAAATTATTCCATAATTCCAGTCCGAATTGTGTTGGCCATGAGTCACAATTGTTTTAATGCTTGCCGAATTAAAAGGTTAACACGATTAAATGCCAATCTCTGACCATCGATATGTTATTGTGGATTGCACAAGATTAGAATATTTAATTACTATATAACAGGTCCTTTATAAACTTTATAAAGTAAATAAAGTGATACCATAGAATAAGAGCAAAAGCACGCAAAACATAAATCTGCCATAAAGTCTCGGATAAAAAATGCATATTCAATTTTAAATAACGATACAAATAATGCGGATTTGTATATTAATAATCAGCACAGAAAATTGTCTTTTACTCGTTATTTATAAAAGTATGACTACAGAAATATGGTAAAATCCCTGACTGAACTATGATAATATAATGCCAACTTATTTTTTAAATCCGAATTTAATCTTCAACTTCGGATTTAAATCTGAATTGTTAAATCGATATCCAATTTACTAAGCATTTACTTGATTGTCGAAAAGAATAATATATGCCAACGTTAGATTTAAATAGCATCATCGTTTGTACATGAGTACATAACCCATATATTCACTACACACTCGATAAATAAAGATTCGACCACCTAGAAACAACGGATTCACAACACGATTAACGTTAGATTTACGTATCTCGCGCGAGGATACATTCCACAAATCATATGACATTGCGCGAAGTTCAAGGTGATTTCATCCAAGACCAAATGTTGAATTCAGCGGATTATAAATTTGGAATCCTTTTTTTATATCTGATAAATCACTAATCGCTTGAAGTTTCTTTAATTAAAATTTTACCTTGTGATGATATCATCTCTTTACAGCTTTAAATTATCCGAATTTTCGATCTCCAGAATTTTATAATATGCAACATGAAATTCGGAAACTTTGGATTATCGTGATAATTTATTGAATAGTTATATGCAATGTGCTTAAATATGACATAATTATTTTTATAAATGCTAAAATAATAATAATTAAACTAATACTTTTAACTATACTAAATGCTAACAAAAATAAATGGGTTACTATTGATAAAATATTCAGAAAATATTCAGATCAACAATATGGCCAAAACTTAATTTAGTTCCATGTAACTTAATGATCACTAATTAATAATATTCATAATGCTGGCTGATAACCATTAGAAAATTTTAGGGTGTACCAATTCCAACTTTAAATTGCCTTTAAGTCCTATTATGAAAGAATATATATAAGTCAGATACATTCTGTTCTGCTTACAACCTCATCGGTGAATACAGTTTGGACTAGATAAAGTGCATATTAACCTTAAAGTGTTCTTGGACAAATTTGAAATATCTCATATTCATCAATCATAAAGGGTTCTGTGCTGTTTCGAATAGGTTTTTCATAATTAACTTGTCTGCAACTGGTTCCTTTAGACCTCTTGAAACTATTGGTCATCTTAAGGTCAAAATCTCCAAAGTTAGGACCCCATTTTGAACTATTAAAAACATAAAAATGGTTATTGGCTTTAAACTACTTACTATGATAAATTATTATGTAAGATAGGCTTACCTATAAAAGAATGCATATCCCGCATTTTGAACCCTACTTAATACATAAGTATCATTAATTTTTTTACCACCTGGATTTCCTAGATTTTCTGGTGTTAAATTAAAAATAAAACTATCTTTTGTCCTAGACCAACTATCTTTTTTGGTCATTTTATCAGATTTATCTTGAGTGTTATTATTCCATTTTAAAGGATTGTATCCACCAAGAATCTCACCTGTTAACCATGAAAAACAATAATTCATTTAGTAAGATAGTAATGATAATGATATTTAAACTCCAATTAAATAATTTACCAGTTCCCGCGACTTTTAAAACTAAAACTGTACGAGATACGGTATCACATATGTCGTGGAAAGTCTTACTCTTGAAGCCATGTTCACTACCTCGGAGTAATAATTTAAAATCATAAGGAATATTTGAGACGTCATATGTTGAGAATTTACGATCGATCCATGTGGCAATTTGTACTACATGTTCAACGGTTATAATATTTGAGAAAGATGACGAATGTGACTGAGAAGGAAAAGATATGTAGTTATTAATTGGTTCGTCAACATTCGTAAATCGCTGCATTATATTCATCCAGACTGCCGGTTCAAGGATTAGTTGAAATGGTCGAATTTTATTATAAATTTCTTCATTAGTGAGTCGCTGAAATCGAATATATGGCAACAAATTATGTAAAGTTACTTTCAAACGATGAAAATCAACTTCGGTCCATTGATCTAGGTTACTTGGTAATTTTGGTAGATTTTGTTCAATTCCCCAATTAATTATGCAATCCCATTTTTTGGACTCATCTACTTTTAGATCACTACGATTAACAACAGAAATTACAATATCTTCAGGAAGTAATTTAAAATCAGAGGTATCAAACACAGCATCTGGACGTTCTGCAATGACATTGGCACAGAACTGGTGTAAAGTGGGAAAATTTTCCGATTTGAAACTTGAATGATAGACAAGGGCAAAATTAGACCATAACCATTCCATCTTCATTTTATATAAATAAGTTTCAAGGTATGTTGCTAATTCAACAAGAGACCACTCATCAGCAATGATCATTGTACCAAAAACAGTCGATGTGTCGATATGATCAAAAGTAATAATCCCCCCATACATATATCTATGAAATAATAAAAATTTAGTCATTTCGGCATGTGGAAATATATATGCTTTGATTTATAATTAAAAATGCTCACCTTAAAATAATTTCAATTATATTGGCAGGGATATCTTTTTTATAAATCTCCATAAATTTTTTTTTGCCTAAGGATAAATCTTCTAATTCTTCATAAAAATACGATGACCTAAACCGCAATATTGCTGAATGAACTTTAAACGAACGACTGTCAGAACCTTCTCCACCATGAATAATCGTATCATAACCATCTCCACATTCAAGAAGTTTTGTAAGATCTTGAGATAATCCGTCAAAGAATTTTACCGTCATTCTTTTTTCACTAAAAATCTCAGAATTTACAAACGTGGTTTAAATTACAAGTTTGTGGTTCCATTTCGGTATGGTACAAATGTGGTACAAAAAAATGATCGGTCGCTGCATGACAGGTTTCTACCGGTGTTTATCGATATATAATGAATTTCAATTTGTACACGGGGTGATCATGCATGTTTCAGGATCAGTAGTAACATAGGATTTGATTTTGCCCTAATTTATTTATTACGAACCTAGCATTAGTGATTCTATCCGGTTAACAATGAACGATTAAAATACTTAGAATTATATATTAACTAAATAAGCAAAGACAATGAAAACTAAATGAGTGTCGCAAAACGAAAACTAGAAAGTTTATGGAATAATATTATTTTATAATATATAATCTATATTAGGCTTACTGGTTTTCACTAAATACAAGAAGTTTTTTTTTTTGCCTTCAGAACTAGTTTTAATGAAACAACTATAGTTTAGTAAGTAATAGCATCAAAAGCTTGATACGTTCGTACGTACATATTTTGCAGAAAATACAAAAGAAACTACTAATTAAAGTTATTAATATCGTTATATATATAAATAGAAAGTATTTTCATTCGCTCATTCCATGTTTTTGGAAAATTTTTCGTCAACCATTTTTCGGATTGGTACAAAATTTGATTCGACATTTTTAAGCCATTTCCTTCATTGTAAGAAGATTGTGAGCTTGTTCAACAAATAAAGTACTTGCATGTAAATTTTACTGCAAAAAAGAGTTTTGTGTTCAGTTATAACGATCTAATTACATTCAGTACTATGTTGTTTAGATTCCGCGATCTTTATTTTTTTTCTGGCTCATTATAACGGTTATATCAACTTCCCAGTTTCGGAGACTACAATGGTGATGAACCTGAATAATTCCAGTGCGGTAGACTAGTTTGACAAAAAGATCAATGCAAATTACATCCACATTTGCACGCCGATGTTCTGCTACAAAAGTTCATACAGGGAGATTTAATCTATTGAAGGCGAGGTCGACTGGAAGTAAACTTTTTTTTAATTATATAGAATTAAATTAAAATTTGTTATCGATATTGATTTGATAGTCATCAAGAAAACTTTACAAAGATTTTTTTTAAAAAAAGGGTGTGTAAATTAATGACAAAAGGCATAATCTAGTTAGTTGCAATTTGATAATTATTATTACTATGAGCAACAACTAAATTATTTTTAAATATTTATATAAAGTTATACTAATCAAACTAATAGTGCCAATACCACATATATGTTTACAGTATCCATAAAAATTGATTCTACCACAAAATCCCGATATCCAAAATCTCAGGCATAATCCTGACGTGACAATTAATATTTAAAGATTAGTAATCACATTAACAATCATTGTCAGACTTTATTGTCACATCGCGTGATGCCAGTTTCATGGCCTGCCGAGATTTTGGGTACTTTAAAATATTGCAAAATAATACTGTAGGTTCAAATTTTAGATGCTAAATATTTTTACTCAGTAGTTAATTTGTAGTTTATGTACTTCTTGTATATTATATGCAAGGAATGCATAAAATATGCAAGGAGTACATAAAATATACAAAGCATATATAAAACATACAAAATTTATATAATTTTTTTTAATTTTTGTAATTGTCAAATAACTGACTCTAATACCCTGGGGAATAGTCAATTGACAATTCCCAGAGGTGGCTATATTGAGCTCTTAAATGTTAGCTCTCTAAAACTACTGTATTTATATTATAATAATATATT